AACTTAGCTATTATGGTATGTGACGTGGTGTAAGTAGTAGATTTCATCGCTGCATCTCCTGATCTGAGGTCATCTTATCAAGTCCAGGTCCAAAACTCGCGCCCATCTGTGTGATCTATGTAGGACCAAGGCTTCAGTCCCCAAACCGGAAGAAAACATAAGCCCTATCCTCAAGGCCTGAAACCAACATAAGACCCATCCTCAAGGCCGTAATTCCGCATAAGCCCTCTTTTCTTCCTTCTCGGTAGATTTTATACAAATATCCAGGGTGGGAATTTATTTATTATTATTTTATACAAATAATGACTTCTTGTGACGTTCATTCAAGAATTACCGTGTAGGGTCTGCTTAAGACTTCCCCAGGATCCAGGTATAAGTCGGTCCTTATCTACCTACTCTCCCCCTTGACGAATGTCGGAAGTCGTTTTCATTCAACTTTGTTTTCGACAGATAATAATATTAAAAACTTATTTGCTATGTTCAATACATAGCAATATATATATATATATATATATATATATATATATATATATATATATATATATATATATATATATATATATATATTTATATAGCCCTCATTAGATTCATACCTTCCAAGGTTTGCTTGTCCCCAAACCATTAATAATTCACTATCTTTTGGATTTTAGTGATTAGGTATTCTACATATTCTTCGGATCCAAGAAACAATTTTTAAAACATCCAGGACGTTTAATGAATTAATTAATTTCAAATTACCATTTAATAAACTAGAATCTAAACAAGAACAAAAACAACAGAAGAAACTGTTTATTAAATCTTTCTCGCTCTCTTTGGAATAATCTATTTTAATCAAAATTAATGAGTATATTGAATTATAAAACGGTTTAAGAGATTTTGGAGAGAAAAGAATCCATACAAGTGTAGTAACGCCAAACAGGAATTTAGGCCTGCAATGGCACCTTAGTTAATTGTATGAGAAGACTAACAAATGATGTCGCCCACGTCACCTTAATGAGACTGAATTGGTGACCAACGCCGACTTCTTGAATCATCTTGGGTTGTTCACTCCCAAGATATCTCTTCGGTGAAAAAGTTCAAGGGGGAAACGCAGATGTAGAAATCAATTTACTTTATGTTGTTATGTATTAAAATGTAAAACGATGACCAAAAAATACTTTCCAATTCAAAACCGGTTGTTTATGACTATTCATCATAAATATTGCGATCTCTCATTTTTCTGATTCATTTTGGTCCCATTCATATTGAATGAGTTATATCACATAATGAGCATTTTATATGACATTTTGAAATAAGAAGTACTGCAGTTTCTCTTTTTTTGTTACTATGAAATCAAAACTGTGATTATTTATAAAAGGCTCAGCGAACAATTCGAAGCCGATGACTCAAATCTTCACCTATTGGCAACTCTTACCACTGCAATTGATAGTTTAAACCTACTATGTTTAACTAATATAAATGAGATAAGAACGATGAGAGATCACAAAACGTTTGATGTGTGTTCCTTCCTTCTCTTTCATCCTGTCAGAACCTGAATTCAGAGAATCAGCTTTAACAAACACAATCCTTCCACCTACGTCTAGGTCTATCCCTGGGACACTTAACCCTGTGTCCAATGATAATTAATTTTCTTTGAATTCGTTCGTTACCAAGTCTCATAAATTTACATAATCATTCCAACCTTGCTAACTTTATTAACGACGATTTTATTCAAATGGGCTGTGCTCTAATTCCGCCATAAGCAACCCGAACTTACTACAAGAGAGTTTATAGATAAAATCAAACTCTATAACAATATTTACTAAATTCTTAGTAAATATTTTTTCAGTTATAATATTATCTATAATACATAATATATCAAATCATTGAAAATGAGAATAAAGTAACAATTTCCTTATTGATTATGTCGATCGATAACACCAATTACGAAGAGCTCGAACTGAAATAACTGGTTAAACCGACATGTTTGGTCCAGGTACACAAGCTGCGGACTCTTACCAATAACAAATGGGTGTCAACTGTCGGTCGGCTATGGCAAACAATTTCATCTAGTTAACTGGACCTGTTCTCATTTTATTTTTGTTGGAGTTGTTTGTTTACCAATAGAATACTTTCATACTGAGATCATACGTAAACAATATTTAACCTTAAATTCGACGTATTGGTTTATTTTAACATGTTATCTCCCCAAAGTTTTTTTTTTTTTTAATGACAACACCAGTGCAATGGCCAGCAAAAGTTTTCATACATGGATTTTTCAAAGGAGGAAACATCAATGAGCATTTGATTGAAATAGAAGCCCATTTACTTTATCATTTATGTAGTGGAAAAGCATCAAATTGGAAAACTGTCATCAATAAATACTTTCAAAATCATAAACCTATTGTCAATGCAAAAAAGAATGGAGACCACTGGTTCAAACTGTCAATATCAGTGATAAAAGATGCTATCCGGAATTATTTGAAGTACATAACACAACATATGTATGTCATTACACTAGCGGATCCAGGATTTAATTTTTTGGGGGGGAGGAACTTCAGCCCGAAAGTTGTTTTTTTTCATAAAAATTACGATAATTACTTTGGAAAAAAAGAAAGAAACTAACTACCTGTATGAAATTGTGTTTAAGTGATTCCTAAAGCCCTTTTAAATGTAACTACACGAACAATAATACTTTAAGAGATACTTTTTAAATATTTTTCTCGATAAATCATGGATATATTTTACCATTTTGGGGGGGGGGGGAGGCTTCAGCCCGAAAGCCCCCTCCCCCGTAGATCCGCCCGTGTGTCATAATTCTTCTGCCCGTGCGTGTGCAGTTAGTTTTTGTGAGAAAATATCCTATTCTGATCCATAGCACAGAAGAGACTTATAAGTCTTGAAAGTGTAACAGTGTAAATAAATATATTTATTTTTGAAAAACAAAAACAGAATCACAACTGACATATTTATAACAAAATGTTTATTTGAATGACATTTTGGAATTCACAAATATGTTCATAATAATCGTTGATGTTATGGTATCCAATATTTAACACTAAAGTTATAAACTTAAGTACCATTCTTTTGTTTATTTATTTAAAACATGTACCTTGATAAAAAACATTATATAAATAAGCAAACACAAAATGGTTCAGCCGCTTTTTTTCTCTATTATTCAACCGATTTTCTTCCTTCTTTTTTTGTTTGATAGCTATTGACGAGCTTTAGTGTTATCAATAAATAAAAACATGAAATAGTGTATGTATATAAAAATATAAATGGTAGTTTGTTCAAAACAGCTTCTCCGAAAGTTCTTTACCGATTTCTTTGAAATTTTGGGCAAAACGTCCCAATAAGATTTAGGAGTGTTTTTGTATACGTTTCTTTATTATCAGGCCTTTCCTTTCGAAATGGCGGCCAAAAAACGTGATTCCCTTGATACTGTAGCGCCAAAACGACTGCAATGATTTTAATGTAACTTATTTCACCGAAAGCAAGCTGCATACATTTTTATGATGAATTCAGTATTTTATTTGCGAATAACTCAAAAAGTACACATTTTTGATTTATAATGCCAATATTTATTTGAAAGCTTTCTGAATTCCTTACAAAATAAAAACCATCGAAATCGGACTAATTGTTGCAGAGATATATAGTTTTAAACATTTAGTACTTTTTCTTTTGCTAAGACGGTTTCCATTATTTTGGTTTTTGATAAATCGAAAACTTTACATTTAATGAAGTAATTGGGACTATTATTTAAAGAGATGATGTCATTGAATTTTAGTGGAATGTTACCTCATACATTAAATTTAAAAGTAAATTCTATAGTTGTGCTCATTCTTAACTTAAATACTGCACAAGCATTAGTTAATGGAATACGAATGAGAGTGAAGTACTGACCGGAGCTACTTTAAATAAAAGAATTTTAATTCCAAGAATTAATTTAAATTTTCTGAGACAATACATCCATTCGAATTTCAAAGAACAACATTCTTATTAATAGCTGCATTTGCTATGGCCATAATCAAATCGCAGGAACAAAGTTTTGGAAAAATTTGTGTATTATTGCGACGTCCAGTAATTTCGCATCTACAATTATATGTGGCAGCAAGTCGAGCACGTTCGTTTAAAATTTTGAAATTTATATTCCCTATGGCAATGGGCAAGCCTATGTACTAAACAATAACCGAACATTCAAAAAGAACATTGTTTACAGAGAAGTACTACATAAAATTTGATTTAAATTAAATTGAAATTACTAATTTAAATTTATTTTTTACTTGCTTAATCATAGCATTAATTTATTATGATGATAAAGCACATAAGTTAAAATGGAAATTAAATATTTTTGAATGAGTCTATTTTGTATTACTTATAAATAATTTTAAGTAGTTTAAACTCGATTGAAATTGAAATTTTGTTTTTATGATTAAATGAGGATTTTTGAATTGTGATTAACTCTTTATTTATTCAATTTATTTTTTATTTAATTATTTGTTTTCTTCAAAATTTTTAATGATTATGGTCGAATTGCGACCACTGGGCGAACACTAGTTAATATGAAAATAAAATAAATAATAATGATAAAAACTATATACATCTAAATAAAAAGATATAGTGTATGTTATATATATTAATTAATCTAGATTAAACTGAATTAAGCACTTTATGAATATCTTATGCAACATTATTTTGGTCAGTTTTTCGTAGTGTAAAAAATGTTTTGTTCATCTGTGTTTGAATTATTTTAAAGTTTACTTATTGTAATTGCCTATTGTTTTAATTATGATGTTCATTGAAATATTTGTTGAGTTGATATGTTTCTCAGACTGACATATTCTTATTATTTATAATTTAATAGTTTAAATCAAGAAATTATGATTATTTTACTCAGTCATGTTAATGCAATTAATACTGTGGTCAATAAAATATCCATAACTAATACTTTATTGTTACTATTTAATTTATTATTCATCTTCATAAGACTAATAATTTTTATTTTTATTTTTTTCTAGCAAAAATATTGCTTTTCTACATAATATTTTATGCAGTTCTGGCTGCACTCTTTGGTCTGCTCATGTTGATTCTCTATTACACGCTGGATCCCAGGATACCCAAATACAGGCTGGAAGAGTCACTTATTGGAACCAGTCCTGGTGAATATTTTATTGCCTTATAGTATATTATTTTATTGTATTGGTATGGAGTATATATATTTTTACAATTTATTTTATTTAAATTGAAGTGATAAGTTTAATTTTTAAAAAGTACTTCATGTTATATTTTATCAATCAACTATTCGAAAAATCATTCATGATCCTAACATTTTTTTACCAATGAAAATCTTTTAAAATCGATATACAGAAATGGAGAAATTAATAATAAAATGAATTAATAATTATAAATCATCATTGAATTATTAGAATGAAACTATCTCGATTCAGAATGATTATTCACAAAGAATCAGAAATCCTTCGATTGATTATGAAATATGAATTTTCAAAATAAAGATGTCTATTTATACGATAGTATAAAGAAGATATTATTCCTTCATTCTTCATTCTTTTTATAGTAGTATAGGCTGATAAGCTCATTATTGCAAATCACAGGAAATTCTTTGTTCTTCTTGACCTTGTAATGTCTTAACCTTTATTATTTCTTTTTCTTCATCATTATATGCTATTTAGAGATAAATAGGATGTTTAAAAACTTTCAAAAAGGGTGTTAGTTATGTATTATAACTGAAGTGAAATGGTTGATGTATCAGTTAGTGTGCGTTAGGTACATTTATATGGCAAATTTCAATTTTATTTTTCATTAGGATATGCTACTTAAAGTATAAATACATTGTTTTTAAGGCATTTGGTGTTTTTTTTTTTTATTGTCTATTTTTACTACCCAGTAACATAGTTGATATATATTATGACAATGCGTTTCTTCATTACTTCTTCACTCTGACTAAAATAACAACCACATCATTCAGTGTCTAATTAAGAGATAATCTTGTTCTTAAAGATATCAATACCTGGATTAGTAGGGACTATGTTAGCCTAAAAGATCATGCCCATCCATTTAAATATTAACTCTGATTGATATTTCAGGAATGGGGTTCAGACCAATGCCAAATGACTCCAACAGTTTGAGCACTCTCATTTGGTATAGAGGGACAGGGAAGGATGATTACAAGTATTGGGTCGATACTTTACAAAACTTTCTTGAAGGTGAGTTATCTTGTATTATTATTATTGAATTTGCCTTCCATTAGTTAATAGTATTAGGTTCCAATTTTATGGTTTATAAATTTAACATGATCAAATCATTTTTCAATTTCAATATATTTAGATTAATTTTACTAACCAAAAAAATCTATTTATTCAATGAAAGTTTATTTTAAGTTAATATTTGTTAGATACTATATTCTATTTTTTATATTTTAGACTATAGAAAACCAGGTTCAACTCCAGGTCGTGGTGCGAACATTCAGCATTGTGATTTTGATATTCCAGTACCACCTGGCAAAGTTTGTGGAGTTGATGTTAAGTCTTGGTATCCCTGTACCTTTGAAAATTTTTATAATTACCATTATCAGGCTCCCTGTATTTTTATAAAGTTGAATCGAGTAAGTATTTACTAAACATAGCTAAAAGAACATCAAGTTATAATTCTAAAGTTATAAATATAATTTATTGACTTTTCTTTTTAAACACATTATTGTTCATTAATATCTTCTCTCTCTCTCTCTCTCTCTCTCTCTCTCTCTCTCTCTCTCTCTCTCTCTCTCTCTCTCTCTCTCTCTCTCTCTCTCTCTCTCTCTCTCTCTCTCTCACTTCATTTTTTTTTATACCACCTTCTAATTTTGATACTTTTTTATTTAGTTCAAAATTATTGTATGAATTTTCATCAAATTCTAAAAAGTATTTTCATGTAGAGTTTTGAATGAAAAACGTGTTCTTGGACATTTTTAAATAATCGCCAGAAGTCTGAATGGTTCTCTATTTTAAATTATTTAAATATTTTTTCAGATTTAATTTGATCTTAGTATTTTGAACTGAAACTTCTGAAGGTTGTGAAATTGTTTTGTGTTTTTATAATAATAGATTTAATAAATAAAAACAGTTAAAAGCTCAAAAAAAGTCTACAAATTATGCTAGTTATCTAATCACAAAAATAAAGAAAACTGTAAGTAGTATAAGATTGATTTCAAGTAACTATACATCATATTTTCACTACTTGATTTTTTGTCCCAGATAATTTTTTCCTGGAAAATTTACATTTACATTTAATTATTCTTAACTAACCATTATGTAGTTCTAAATTTTTTTCTTGACCCTTTAAAAATGGTGGACTCCTTATGAATTGAGAGCCTTGCTCTTTCTCTTGTGCTCTGTGATGAATTCAGTTTTCAAAGTATCTCGTGGCCTTTCTATCAATTGTATAAAACTTAGATATAAAACAAAATAAAAAAGGTTGAGAACTATATTCTAAACAAAAAGGCTAAAGTTAAAGTGGTGGGTAGAGGTGACGAAAAGTATTCAGTCACAGGCCTACAGAAAAATGTAAAATAATACCGTCCTCAACGCCAATCCTTCCTTCAGCTCATCGTTGTAAAAGATTAAGGTTGGTTCTGAAGTTTGGGAGAAGAGATGGTTATTCAAATGATATTTTCAAAAATTACCATTGGACTTTTGAGACCCAGAAACATATAAATTAAGTGAAAACTTGAGTTTTTTTTTTTATAAGTAATTACTACTAATTAAGAAGTTAAGGAATATAATTCAGATGTTTATATTACTTATTTTTAATAGGTTTATGGATGGAAACCTGAATACTATGATGATGTCGAGTCTTTACCTGAAGAAATGCCAACTACATTGAAGGAGTTTATCAGAGGAGAGGGCAATAGGTCCTCAAATTATGTAAGTATAGGATTATTTAGGTGAAAAATATTTTCTTTGAAATTGTTTACTATTTCATGATACTTATTTTTAAAATGAATAATTATTTTTAGTTATCTAATTTGATTATAATTAAAAACTTTTTAATTATTTAAATAAATTTTACGCCAATAGTCACCAATAATTATCTTTATTTTCATGACTTATGGCTGGAGCCACTTTCAAATCTATTATGCCTCTTTATTTTATCTATCTCATTTTAAACAGTTACTTATAAAAAGCTATGGAAATCAGACATGATTACCTGTACAACCTAAGAATGAAAAACTGACAATGACTGAATTTAAAGTAAAGATGTAAGATAAGATTAAAAACGGATGTATATAACTCAAACCATTAAAAATTGAAGAAATGTCAATAGAAAGAATTTTTGGTAACTAATGGCCTAAAATTTATTTAAATAAATTTTGATATTGTGGTAACAAAAGGAATAAATGTGACTAGAAAAAAGAAAACTTTTTTTTATTTATTTTGTTTCCTTTAAATATTAAATTGACTGTCTCAATATTTTAGCTTAAAACTGTATGGGTGAGTTGTGAAGGTGAAAGCCCAGCTGATGTTGAAAATCTAGGCCCTGTACATTATGTCCCTAGGCAAGGATTTCCTGGATTTTATTTTCCATATGAAAACTCTGAAGGTTATCTTAGCCCACTTGTTGCTGTTCACCTCCAAAGACCTAAGAGTGAGTAAAATTTTATTTTTATTTTTATAAATAACTTTTTTTTTTACTTTCTGTTTTTTGGAACAAAAATCACCAATGTATATTCTTCAATAGAGTTCACTCAAACTTTCAGACATTGGCCCTTTTTTACAAAGATGAGATGGTTATGAGGATAATAAAAAACATACAATTTTAATTTGTTCCAATGTTGTATTCCTTACTTTCCTCCAACTTTTGCTCAAATTAAACGAGCCATTTATGAAATAAAGGTATATTTATGAAAATAAATTTGGATATCTGTAACAGAACGTAGTCTTCCAACTTTGAGCCAAATCGAACAAGCCATTTTTTAAATATATACACAGCAAGGAAAATATATTTTTGCATAGATATGGAAAAATAGTAGGTAATAATCAATATAATTGATACAGTACCTTTTTTCCTCCAACTTTGAGCCAAATCAAACGAGTTGTTTTTTAAATATAGGTGTGTGAAATTGATTTAGACCATTAAAATTCCCACCTGCCTATTTCCTGAAAATTTCATAAAATTATAATAACGGTAGTAGTGTTAGTAGGCTTGTGATATGCTTGTCAGATAAATTTCACTGTAGACAGACATGGAACCAAATTTATTCCTTGATGTCCAAAATTATTAATGAAAATTTATAATTCTGTGGGGAAAACAAATTCTATTTAACACAATTATGAAAGAATTGTGGGCTGACTCTTCATCAGCCAATCCTCATCTCCGATTAATGTTTATGTATATGTTAAAATTTCAAAATACAATAATTATCACAAGTTATGTTTATAATTTAAAAATAATTGATTTCAGCTGGGATACTGATCAACATTGAATGCAGAGCCTGGGCAAAGAACATAGTTCACAATCGTAAAGAAAGGCGAGGAAGTGTCCATTTTGAGCTGATGATTGATTAAGTCGCATCAGGAATGGTCTGATAAAAGAAAAAATGAATGAATGATCTGATTTGAACAGAAAAAAATGAATGAATAATCTTTAAGATACCAAATTTTATAGAGTTAGATTTATTTTTTTGTGTGTGTAAAAGTGAAAGAAATTAATATTATTGTTATTCTTTTTCAAATCATGACATATATTGAATCTCAATGAGTGTGTTGATATTAATTGTACTTTCATATTATAAAATATATTTCAATATATGTACTTATTTTTCAAACATTTGCGTCCTTAGATAATATTTGAAATATTTATCTGCTACTTTATGAAGTTTAATTTATACTTTTTTTTTATATTAGAATTTTCCTTAATATTATTTATTAAAGAATAATTTAAAAACAATATTAAGAAAAATCAAATAAATAATATAATATATATATTTAGATCTATAATTTAAAGTTCTTTTTTTTTTGTTTTTTAAGGGCTCATCCTTATATATTTAATTGGAAAATACCTATTTTTGTTCTATTGTTAGTTTATTTTTTATATAATTTTAATTTAAATTATTTAGCTTATAATTATTTTTAATATATTCTTTGCTTGGACATACCATTCCCAAACATTGTTAGCTTTAAGATAATTTTTCACAATTTTTTTATAATTTTATTTTTCTTATTTCACCATGTTAAGTTCTTTTATTTTTATATTTGATATGCAAGTAGGAATTATAATTCTGATTTATGTACAAACTTATATTTTTAATATTTAGATCTTATAAAATTGTGTTCAGTTTGTTGTTGAATAAAATATTTCTCATCGATAATTTTACCAACTCATTTATTTAAATTTTTTTTCACTGTAATTTAAAATAAAATTACTTAATCAATAGAATTTTAAAAAAAATTAGTTTATAATTTAAAAAAAGTAGTATATTTAGAAAAACTGCTTTAATTGCCGATGTTCCCGCTGCACCCTTCATGTGAAACAATTTCATCAAGTTTGTACCATGCAAGCCACACTGCATTTGTAATCACATATAATTTCAAAAGAATCAAAGTCTATTCATTCTTTTTGCTTCAGAGCTATTATTTTCGAATATTGATTCTTACAAAGTGAATAACATCCAAGTTATCACTTTTAATAAAACTATGGACTGTAATTGTTTTTCATGCAAACTGGATAACTCAAAATAGTGGACGGATTATATTTTGTACTAACGTTTGTTATCAAAGTGCTGAAGTATAATAATGTGCAGAAGTCTGCATTATGACTATCTTTGACTACAGTTCTATGAATTGTTGATACTAAAGCTTTTGGACATTATATTTTGAATGAGATAATTGGGATAGAATATGTTAGCTTGATATGCTATTCCCTTCAAAATTTAAACTGTGTGCTTAGAAGATTGGTAAAAACATAAGCAGCAGAGCTCCATCACTGAAGTTCTATTTTTATTTTTAAAAAGGATTAAATTGTTTCATTGATCTTTAGTAGAAAAATAAATGGTTTGAAAATTATCATCCAATCACCAGAGTTATGATATAAAAAAGAATATTAAAAATTAAATAATAATTTATTACTATATTACATTGCATTAAAAGTGAACTAATACAAGAAGTATCTGAAGCCTTTGAAGTTCAAACGGGTTTGAGGCATGGAGATGGATTCTCGCCGATGCTGTTCAACTAAGCCTAGAGAAAGTAATAAGAACAACATCATGCAAAGATGGAGGGGTGCACATCGGAATAAAATACAAAATCTCGTAGCATATGCGGATGATATAGCTGTCCTCGGAAGTAATCAAGAAGATATTGAGAGACTCGCTCAGACTCTGTTAAAAGAAGCAAAACAAATTGGACTGTAAGTCAATGTAGATAAAACAAAATACATGATAGTTAGCCGAAACATCTACCCTAATAACATGATCTGCGTGGACTCTAAGTCATTCCCGAAAGTAGACAGATTCAAATACCTCGGCTTCACAATAACCTCAATAAATGATCAACTAACAGAGGTAGACCAGTGAATAACAAGTGCGGACAAATCGTTCTTCTCTTTTTCAAGGGTACTGAAATCCAGAAAAATCTCCAGAAATCTAAAAGTAAGGGTGTACAGTGCCAGTTCTGCTGTACGGTTGTGAAACCTGGACTCTAACCGTCATATTAGAAGCCAGAATGAAGAGATTCAAAAGAAAAGTTCTTCATAAGATAACAGGAGCTATATGGGACCAGAACCTTGACATATGGAAGAGATGGAACAATAAAGAACTGCTGAAAGAAACGGGTCAGTAAATATCTCGTGAAATGAAGGCAAGGAGGTTAAGATGGACAGGGCATGTAGCTTGTAGCAATCCATCAGGACACCTTTACACAACAATGAATGTCAGAGTAGTAGGCAAGAAACCAATTGGGAGGCCAAAAACCAGATGGATTGATAAGATAAACAAAGATACGGCTGAGCTTCATGGCACAATCTGGAAAGGAGAAGGCTGGTTCAGGCGGCTAAAGATCTACAAGGTCTGTAGAGCCAACCGAAAAAAAAAAAAAAAGAATTATAATATATGAAATAAAAATTTTCTAACTTTACAAGAACATAGTTATAATTAAAATTATAGGTGCTCATGATATTTTCCAACTACTCATTTAATGCTCACATAATTTTTTTTGTTAGCATTAAGAATTTATATTCTTCTTTTATAAAATAGTGAAGAATATAAAATACATACATACTGAACATCTAATTTTTATTTTAATAGTAAAATTGTTCAAACTAAATATTTTATTATGTAAATAGGATACTTTGATATAATTAATCCTATGCTAGCAGGCACTTGTTTAATTTTAGTTTGTGTATTTTAAGAAAACTGTCTACATGCATGTGAAAGTAAACATCATTCGGAGAATGGTGGCCCATGTAGCCAGCAATCATTATTTCTTTGTGCAGCACAGAGGATACAATAAAATTCCAAAATTGAATATTTGTTTTATGAACCTTTTTAGTGGTTTCTGGTCCTTGATTAGTTAAAGGATAAAGTTTTTCATTATTGAACAGAAGATTGGTTGGGGTGTTCAGTCAAAAAAATGTAAAAATAAATAAATTATATTTATTTTTATTTTTGCCGACATTTCAGCCAGCAGTTCAGGCTGTCATCAGGACTAAGAAAAAAAAAACAGATAACAATAGGTATGAGAAACTATTATCATTGAAAAGAAAATATTAATACATAGACGAAAGTTTTTCTATAATTTTCCAAAAAGATATGTTTGGAGTTCGACAGAGGGAACTTGAAATATGTTGTTGTTGCCAATCAAAAATTGTTTGTTCTGGTTTAAATTTAATTTTTTTTTTTTTCTCTGTGCTTTTATTTTGAAAGATAACAAATTGAAATTAGAAGGCTTCACATGGCAGATTAAAAAAATAAATAACTAGAGCAATTAAACAAAATAAATATACCCAATATTATTCTAAAAACGATTAAATAAACAACGAAATCATAATTGATTATTTTTGTATGAATTTCATACCACTTACACCTTTCTCTAGTTTTTTTGCCTTTCTTGCTGATATTTCTCCTCTACCTCCTTTATATAACTCTATGCCCTGATGTTACTTCTACATTACTTGCTACTATAGCTAGTAATGAAAGTAACTTCAGTAACACTTAAAATTATTTTTAAAACTATCAGTCCCTGGTACTGACCCTTTTTTATCTAATTATTAACATCAGCCTAAAACTTGGTGAATGTATTCATGCTATAGTAACCTACACTAGCAGATCCAGGATTTAATTTTGGGGGAGGCTTTAGTGGGAAACCTTTTTTTTTTCATAAACAACAATAATTACTTTGTAAAAACAGAAAGAAACTAACTACCTCTATGAAATGGTGTTTAAGTTATTCCTTAAGTACTTTTAAATGTAATTACACGAACAATAATACTTTAAGAGGTATTTTTAAAAATTGTTTTCCCATAAAACATGGTTATATTTTTCCATTTTGGGGGAGGCTTCGAACCCCCTTCCCCCACCGTAGATCCGCCCGTGGTAACCTAGGAATTTTACAACTTAGAAAATTCTCAGAAATGGAGTGTTTCCTCATTAAATTAATCAATTTAATTAAGTACTAAAAACTCATTGATATACTAATTTGCTTTACACTTAAATCTTAAGATCATTTGATCACAAAATCGAGAAAAAAAAAGCGGCCTACAAAAACGTTGGACCATTTCTCCATTAAAGTCGCTCCAAACGGTTCAGTATTTTTGTAGGCCACTTTTATTCTAGGTTGTTTCATCAAAGTATCTTACAATTTAAGTGGAACAGAACCCATTTGGCTATGTCCGGCTAATAAGCGATCGCTGAGGGACCGAGAGGGGTCCAAAATCATTTTTCTCAATTTTTCTTAGTATCCCAAAAATAATTGTTCTACATTCGTTTATTTCCGCTGGTGGTGTTCTGTAATTTTTTATCGTCGTAAAATGATTGGAGGTCTCCTCAAGGACCCCGAATATCGTTATTTTATATTTACCTATTACCGTTGTATATTTGGCCCCAAAAATAATTGCTTTGTATTCGTTTGTTTCCGCAGATTATCAGATACCCATTCTGAAGAGCTCGAAGATTTCGTATTTATCTACTACTGTGTTATATTTAACCCTCTAAAGAATAGTTTTATATATTTGAATTCCTGGAAACCACTTTTAGGTATGTACACATATATATATGTATATACATATCGCTCCTTATCAGGGCAATATATACATTGTTCTGATAAGAGAACCCCATTTCAGACTGGTTATACTTTGCTTCATTAAGTTGTTGGATATTGCATCCTTTCCAACAGTCAGAATATATGGTGCTTCTCTCTTCTATATTATTTTTAATACATTCTAATAAAGTTATTGCTTTTCTGTCCTTTATTTTTACCATGAAGCCCTCGTCTGTTTCTAGGAAAACTCTGCCAAACATCCATTGTTCAGGGAGAAATCTCGCTACACGATTTTTCTTTTAGAAAAAACATTCATCTATTTCAAATCCTTTTCACCAGTCGTCAGTCCGCCATTTTGTGGCAGTGCGTTCACTTTTTTTTGGAACATTGGCTTTTTCTAAATAAATAGGTACAAGGAACACGATTAGGTTATCATAATTTAGCAGAACAATATATACTTTGTCCTGATAAGGGGACCCCATTTCAGACTGTAGCCTAGGGTCCCAAATGGAACCAGACCTGGCCAGAAGTGGAAAGCAGATGGGTGTTCATAAGTTCTTATTACCTAATTAAATAAACAAAGTTTGCCGATTTTCAGGTTGAAGTCCCAATTCCGAGAATGTTCGTAAATAAAAAAGTTGTCAGTTACGATGAGATAAAGCTATTCACTAAGTTCTAGGCGGGTGTTAATAATTCAATGGTAAAGAGTCTGTATCACGGACTATATAAGTTTATCTAGACTAGAACTGACCTACCTAAACAGCTTCATTCACTAGCGGATCCAGGATTTAATTTTGGGGGAGGCTTCAGCCCAAAATCTTTTTTTTTTCATAAAAATAACGATAATTACTTTGGAAAAAAAGGAAAGAAACTAACTACCTATATGAAATGGAGTTAAAGTGATTCCTAAAGCCCTTTTATATGTAATTATACAAACAATAATACTTTAAGAGATACTTTTTTAATTTTTTTTTCTCGATAAAACATGGCTATATTTTACCATTTTGGGGGGGCTTCAGCCCGAAAGTCCCCCTCCCCCGTAGTTCCGCCCGTGCTGTAGCGCCTGAACAGATGTACCTATATTAATGAAACTGGGCTAAAGTATTCTTCTCGATGCCCTTTAAATTTATCTTTGTGGGTTGATGGTTGATTGTCGTGAATAATGAACAGAAGTTGTTATCTGTTTCTTTTCTTCTTGTTATCTGGTTCTTTTCTTAGCCCTGATGAAGGCCTGAACTTCAGGTCGAAACGTCGGAAAATGTTAAAATAAATATTATTATTTATTTTTGCCTTTTCATTTCTGACTGATCACCCCAACCATCCTTCTCCTTCTTTAAATTTGTCTATTTAACATATTAATTACACGAACAATAATACTTTGAGAGATAATTTTTTAATATTTCTTTTGATAAAACATAGTTATATTTTCCCATTTTGGGGAAGGGCTTCATTAACATATTATGATGCTATGTTAACCGAAGGACACACTTTAGGCAAACCACGCTGCTCATAACACAGTTACGAGGCGCAAGTTGAGTCATCAAAATTTTATACAGAGGCACAATTCCAGAAGGTTACGGACTTTTGGAGGGAACCATATTTTTGTAGGATTTCAATTTTAAGGAACTTCTAAACCAAAGAATGAGAAAAAATAAAAGCTACGATTTTTCTTATTTTTAAGAAGAGAGAGCAGTAAAATTTCTTGGGGAATATGGGCCTCCATCGCTCTTGTGGGGTATGGGCGCCACTGGGACGAAAGTGCTTTCAAAAATAGTAATATAATAGAAAAAAAGTAAATTAATCCTTATTTTCATACTATGGTTCGATATAATTTACCTTTGAGTATTAAATTATGAGAGATTTATTCATCCTTTCTTACACAATTCTTACAATGTCATCTTGGCGTTTGTTGCTATCAAATAAAAAGTTTAATCTCATACTTGTTTGTTATCACAATTAAACAGATTTTCATTAGTTATTTGTATATATATACAAATATTACAAAACAACAATATACGAGACAACAATTTTAATAGATACAGGCAGCAAACTCAGGAATGATCAGGCCTACACTAAGCAATCCGAGTTTTTAGTACAGAAGAAAACGTGAGAGCCTGAAAGCTAAATTTATAGAAATTGGTGGAGAAATCTTTGGAGATTAATATCTGAAAAGGGTGGAAATAAATAATAAAAGACAATTAATCCGTTCCATTTTTGCGTTATCATGAAGATATTTTGGTTTATTATTTTCAATAATGAAGCACTGTAATCGTCCGAAAAATTAAAAAACTTAACCCTCCTCAAAATTTGAGGATTACGTTACACGATACATATAAATCAAAAATCGAATAAAGTCTTCTCTTTCGAAACTCTTAAAGTTTATCTATATAACATACTTCAACGAAAAGAAGCTGGAAAAAAAGTTACGAGGGGTCGTAAAATTAAATTTCCGAATAACTCAAAAGTATCCACTTTTTTGTTGATGTTGTATATGGTTATTTAAAACTTTATGAAATTTCCTTAAAAATATATGTTTTACTGCAAAGCTTATTTCCTTTGTTTTGATTTTTAATATCATCAAAGTATTACATCAACTGAAACAATGCGTTTTATTTTTGTTAGAAAGTTACTAATGATGAAATAAAAAAATATTTAGGACAGTATTAGAAATCACCTTTTATTTTATTTTTTCTTATGTTACAAGGAAAGTAATGTTGCTATTGATATATAGTTGTTTGGAAATAATAAACCATTGTGTAATAATGTGCGACGTTTTTACTTTCGTTTATCCATCCTATATATGAAATATACATAAGGGACAGTATTGCGGTCGTGAAAATTTTCGAATCTAAGCTTTCAACGGAAGTACATGTTTCCAGGTCTCATGAGACCAAATAACCAAATCCCAAAACAAAAATTAAATTTAACCCAGAACAAACAATTTTTGATTGGCAACAATAGCATATTTCAAGTTCCCTCTGTCGAAGTCCGAACATATCTTTTTGGAGTATTATAGAACAACTTTATTCTTTAACTAATCAAGAACCAGAAACCACTAAAAAGGTTCATAAAACAAATATTCAATTTTGGAATTTTATTGTATCCTCTGTACTGCACAAAGAAATAATTATTGCTGGCTACGTGGGCCACCATTCTTCGAATGATGTTTACTTTCACATGCATGTAGACAGTTCGCTTAAAATACAGAACCTAAAATTAAACAAATGCCTCCTTGCATAGAATTAATTATATCAAAGTACATTATTTATGTAATAAAATATTTAGTGCTAAAAAACTAACTCTCGTCAAAGTCGTCAGTCCGCCATCTTTGGACGCCATTTTGAGGCAGTTCATTCAATTTTTTGTGGGAACATTGGCTTGACATAATAATATTGACAAGAGGAAAACATAGAACAGACCACTGAAAGGGTAATTTTATACCCCTTATCATTTTTTAAATTCTTCTTTAGCTTGCACTGTTATTAAGAAGAAGAGAGCAATAAAATATCTTGGAAAAAAGGGAGAGTTCACGTGCCATCGACCTTCGGGGGATGGGCACTCCTGAGGTGAAGCATTTGTAGTGCAGTAATACAGTACTAGTGATTCTTATTAACTTTTTATTAGGGAGCGAAATACTTTAGGGAAAGTAATGCTGCCCCACTACATAGGGTTGCTTTATATACAGCATACTGATCAATCCATATGGACATTGCTCCTACATTACAGTATTCCGTCATTATAGAAACATATATATCACTTTTTTCCCCTCCCTTTTCTTAACACTATTCATATACACTGATGTACTCATTAAACGATTATCAATATAACATATACATTTTCCTGACAAAATAAAAACAAAAACAAGAAGGTATTCGAATTCTGGAAATACGAGACCAAATCGCACAAACATATATTAACGCAATGCTATAAATATAGACAAAAAGACGAGACAAAGAAAAAATAATAATAAATTGAATAAATAAATAGATAAATGACAAAATATATCATAAATTCTCAGTTAATTACTATATAACTGATAGTGGATGATCTCCAGGGAGTCGAGAATAATATTCTCTGCCAATATCGCCAGTACCCTAACATCAACACCTACTTCCTTGTGGAAGCTCCTTGTTCTTTTTCGGATCGTTCCGCGAGACACACATTAGAAAGCCTCTCACAGTGAACTCTCTCTTTTCGAAGTTCACACGGAACTTCTATTTTAGGAAAGGGATACATTTATCATATATGGTTTTCTTTTCTTTTCATTCTCTTTTCATATATCGTTCCGCCTGATCGAGGTCATTGCTCTCGAAGCAGACAGTTGGATCCAAGATCAGAGCTGTCTTTCCTGTCTTGGAAAATGCAACAATATCCGCACAGCTGATGGAGCCTTCACTGTCGATGCAATAGACCTGGTCGAAGCAGGTGAATTCTTTTTCTCTAAGGAGCCTCATCAACTCTAACTTGACTCTATGGTGCTGGCGTGTAATGAGGAGGGAATTGTTGGGATATTTTCCCAGTATATGGGCTGGTGTTTCAGACTCTGCCGCACTTAGGATAGAGGGAACCAACTTCCTTCGACTGTCCACTAGCTTCTGGGACTCCATGCAAAGATGCGTGATTGATGTTGAGTTTTAAAACGTTGATCTACTCTGAACCCAACAGTGATTGCTTTTGATATATATATTTATTAGCTTTCGGGGTTTCTTTAAAATGCCAAACTCCAACGCCTTGCCACCTGCAGTTGGCCCATTCAAAAGAATTTTTTCTTGGCGACTGTCGTAGGGCTTTCACATTTCGGTGGCCCTGATGCACTCAAAGTCTTTCTCAACATTCGGCGATTTCTGTATTGTAGTCAAATGTGGACTGGAAAGAGCATCCGGTACATTTGACAGTCCCTGGGTAATGGTCCAATGCTGCAAAGGAGATTCCCATTGACAGCGGATCAGTCCCAATCCTCGATATCCCCTCAGTGAATACAACATCGCCGTTGATGTATTAGATGAGAGCCCGACAATGGCCTTTATACTCCTGCGAATATTTGTATCAATTCCTTCCAATATCGCAGGACGTATCTTTGTGAGGAGCGTCGTCTGAATAGGCAAGTCTCAGGAACACGTATTGGTTGATAACGTTGATCTTATGCTTCGGTTTAAGAAGGCAAGAGCTTACTAATTTATCGAAATAGTTGTTCAATTTTGTAACCACTTCTTCATACAGTCCAGCTCTCCCGAGAACGTATATCCTAAATACTTTATATTCTCACCAACCTTTGCTAAATCGATGGTATCTCCGTTCTCAAGGGAGAGCTTTGTTTGCTGCAGCTCTCCTTTATTTCGTTTAAACTTACAAATGATGTGCAGATCTTGTTATTAGAGGATTTTTAGAATGCAAAAAAATAACAAAAAAACATCGCGACATAAAAACTGAAACAAATTGAATTAGCACTTTGAGCCCAGGTTCCAGGCCATTTTGAATGCTTATTGAGATTGACCCTTGTGTAGTTCATGGTCGGGTAGTAATAAATAAAACCATAGCGATGTATTGAAAGAATTTTGACATATTAATACAAATTGTGGTTGATTTCGGTGGTATAAATTTGTTTAGTTACTCAATACATTGTTTGAGTTCTAGCGGGTGGAGAGGGGGGGAGGGTATTTTGCGAAACATCAATACAACAATACAACTTCGTCCTAATTCGATGAAAAAAATGTGTTTAATATTACTCCATTGATGGCCTTATACGTTTCTGTTCAAGTTTGAAAATAAACTCTATTGTAAATAATTATGAATAATGAAACCTTTCAAATAAAACAAATAATTATAAAATAACACAAATAAATAAACATTTCAAAATTATCAACATCTAATATATCTGAAAAAAATAATAGGTTGTTATAAAAAGCTATAATAAATAAGTTATTTCAGATAAACAAAATATGCTGATTATATGATAGCTGTATCAGAAAAGTGATAAAATTTGGCGCCAACATCTCCCGCCCTTTGATCAACTGTTGCATACACTCATCTCAATTAAGATATTTATGTTTATACTGTATCATCACTTTTACATTGTTTTGGCAGGCCCAAAAAAACTGTTAAAATGCCTGCTATTATTACTAGTTTTCCTGAAGATGTGATAGCACAGTAAGTTTCAGTTTTGTTATCTCTTTTCTATTTGGTATGTTTAAATATGCACAGTCAAGATGGTATGTTTATTTCTGACTGTTGATCTTAACAAATTTATTTATGTCAAGCTGTGAAATTAAAGTGACTCATTGTGCCTAGGTTGGAAACACTTGAGTTAGAATATGAAGAGGGAGATATAACCAAAAAAGGTTATTGCAGAAAGAAATGGCAGATTTTAAAACCTCATGTCGATCCAAAATATGTGAGCCAAATAGAAGGCCTTCAAGCCCGTTTAGCTGTGACTGGATTACCTGAGGTATCATAGTGTAATATTTTTATTAGTTTTGTTGAAAACGTTTAACATTATGGGAAGTAAATTTATTTTATCAACTTTTCTAGGAGCAGTATTATAATGATATGGTGGCATTATTAAAAGAAGCACGTAATTCTAAAGGGAACGTTAATAGTGACTCTGATGGCTCTGTCGATGATAGGGAAATTGCTGTGGCTACTCCGGAGAAAGAAAAGGAAGTTGAGAAAGGAAAGTCTCCAGAACCAGGTTCTTCTCTAATCTCAACACCAAAATCATCTAGAAAGACTTTATCGCTGTCAAAGTCAAGCACTAAAAGTGATACACCAAAGCGTAAGTAATGAAATATATTGTTAAGTTGTTAAACTATCATTAAAAATTTATCCAATTAATCATTGATTCCATAATTTAAGGAGAAACACGAAAGTCAAAGGAAGTTAACAAGAGCACGAGTGATCAAAAATCCATTGTATCATTTTTGGATTCTTCAATCGAAGAGAATACTAGTGCCAAAAGAAAGTCGCCTGTTGAAGAAGATCTAGTTACTATTAAGGAAGAACCTGAAGATCCAGAAGAGCCCACAGATAAAAAGAAAATTAAACTTGAAGCAAAGGAGATAGATGATTCTAAAGAAAATGTTAAAACTCCCTCAACTAAACAAAAAGTTATTCCCAAAAAATGTGAGATTTGCCATCAATTGTTAGGCGATTCTGACCTAAAAATGTATGAAGGTCACCCTCATAACGCAGTTGAAGAATTTATTGCCCTGACTGACCCCAAATTAAGTCTCTTTACTGGAGAAGAAGATTCTGTTAATGAATATGATGCACGACCACAAAATAAAATTACTTATTTCAGGTATTTTTGTGAAAATTAATTAAATTGTTTCATTCTTCAAAGTTGACACTTATAAATTTGATTTCCCTAGATTCATTAGTGTTGATCGAAGTTGAAATATGTCTAACATATTACTCTTCTTTTTTTTTAGTATTTATGACAAAAATGGTCATTTATGTCCAATTGACAGAGGTCTGATTGAACGTAATGTTTTCTTATATTTTTCGGGATATGTCAAGCCAGTTTATGAGGAAGATGGTGGTACTGAAGGTAGGTCGACCAGTTTGACTGTTAAAATATCTTTTGTTAAGCATGATCATTGTTTAAAATATATAATTTTAAGTATCTTTAACACATTATCGTGGTGATGGTAATCTAATAATTTATGCAGTAGGTGAAATATTTCTGTTCAATCGGAATACATATGTTGGATTATAAATATTAGTTTATTTATTTTATTATAAATACTTGTTTATTTATCATTTTTGCGTGAATATTCTTTGATATTAGGTGGAATTCCTACAAAGGATCTTGGCCCAATCAATGAGTGGTGGATTTCTGGTTTCGATGGAGGTGAAAAGGCGCTTGTTGGATTTTCCACACCTTATGCAGAATATTATTTATTAGAACCAAGTCCTGATTATGCTCCACTTATGGAGAGTGTTAAAGAGAAAATATACATGGGAAAATTGGTTATTGAATTTTTACTGGATGAAGAAAATCCATCATTTGAAGACTTAATCAACAAAATTCAGGTATTATTTTCTGTGGTTAGGTTTATGAAATAAAAATATGGAGATTCAGACTTTATTTAATTACATCATTATCAAATTGCAGACAACTGTTCCTCCTCCGGGGTTTCCCAAATTAACTGAAGAGAGTTTATTAAAACATGCACAATTTGTATGTGATCAAGTTCTAAGTTTCGAATCAGCTTCTGACAATAATGACAATTCTCTCATCACTTCCCCTTGCATGAGATCACTTATTCATCTTGCAGGGGTGACATTCGGAAAGAGGTACAATAACCTGTTATAGTTTATTAAAGTTTCAGAAAACATCTATAATATAGATTGTTCATTTTTACTATAAAAACATTCTTTATTTTTTTAAATTCATTTTAGTTATTCTGCAATTGTAATTACTACAGGTATTTTAAAGATATTTTCTGTAATTTCAAGAAAGTTGAATTACATTTAGATTTTCTAACAGTAGTCATTTCCTGCTATTCATATAATATTCTTGCTTATCAGGGACTTATCATTTACATTTTTAAATTACTAGATATTTTTATTTTTTGTTTTAGGCAGGCTATGCGAAGAAATGAAAAGAAACAATTTAAAGTAAAGAAACCTGCTTGGACAAAAGCCACGACCACTCCTCTTGTAAAGAATGTCTTCGAAACATTTTTTACTGGGCAAATTGATGCTGTGAATGATCAAGATAAAGTAAGTTAATTATTTTGTTTTAACCTGAGGATTATGCAAAAAAAAAAAAAAGAAATTATTAGAAATGAAAGACTCCTAATTTACAGAATATAATAACGGTTAATAGTATAATATTTAGTTCTCTGAAAGACCTTAGCTAATGTCGCTATTACAATTATCTTTATCCTAAAACCCAAACTAAGGCATAGGAATAAGTATTAGAAAAATTAATGTAGCTGTGGTTTTGAAATACCTCATATTAAATGCAATGAAGGTGGTTTACTAAATCCATACTGTTTTGTCCAGTTCATTACTGCAAGAATAATTTTTCATTAAAACTTTAATTTTTATGTTATTTTTTTTTTTTTACATTATCTTCCAGTCATTAATGGAAAATACCTATGGCGATCCCCAGAATTTTCTCCCACCAAACTTTCCTGTTATACCGTATCTCTTCTTGCGATAGCAGTTCCCTCCATTACATCATTCATACACTTTTTTATTATTTTTTCCCTTCTTTGCCGACCAATTTTCTCGTGTGTTGATCAGAAGGCAATCCAATTTTCTCTTTTGAGTTATACAACTGTTTAACTCAATGTTTAGGAAACTTTCTGTATTTTTCATCATCTGTCGTAATGTGTGACACAATCCAATACACAATGGTATACTACCTCAGATCTAGCAGATTAAAGCTAAGGTTATTTTTTACCATGGTAACCCTATTCCTACTCTCTTTTAGTATTTACTGTTCAAGGCTAAAACCCTCCAAACTGCGTGCCCATTATTATTGTGGCAGCTCAGTCCATGGATGACTATTGTGTAGCTTTGCGAGACAGCAATGTACCTCTTTTACGAAATACTAAAATATGGCTTTTCAATACAAATATTAAATCGGTCCTGCTTTTTCGCTGTGAAACATACATAAACAGTTTTTTTTTTTTTTTCTGCCGCATGAATGCACCACGGCCATGTAGGCCTATTGTACGCCTAGTTTGAAGTCACTTTAGTATATCCATAGTCCTGGCACTTCATTAAGCAAGAGACGTTAAAGTTATGCAGTAAGACCATTGATCTCTACTCAAAATTTAAACTTACCACCACTATTAGGTGTCATCGCTGCATTGGGTCACTTCTTACACCCAGTTTTTAGTTAAACCATTCTTGGGTGTAGGCTTACTTTTCTCTTGGACCTCATTGACTCAATCGGGTTTTTAAAAACATTCGATGTCTTCCTGGCAGCTTTGGCTCTCCTACGGTATCTTTTACTTACAACTACTTAGTAGAGTAGGATTCAGTGGCCTCTAAGGGTCCAGCTGTGCTTGCATCTCTTATAGCTGCCTGTGGTTCTCTTGAAAGACTAGCTTTAACTAAGATATATTACGGTTCCACATTAGTCGTCGAAAGTCCCTAAATAACTTATGCCATGATTTTTTCAAAAACCAGCTGAGTGGTCATCTCATGAACACTAACAGTGACGTAAGTGACTCATGGATGCTTTCTTGATCGGGACAAATACATCTTTGAAAGTTTAAGCCATCTTTTGTCATCTAGTGTTTTTATTATTATTAAGTTTCGAATTTTTCTACTGCTATGATTGTATACTTATATATTGAACCCTTTTTCCAGCCTTTGTAAATAAACTTTGAGATTCTCTTGAATTTATTGGGTCGATTGGATTATACTTTTTTCTCCAGTCTCCTCCAACTTTATTTCCAAATCAGGAGAACCTTTTCTTGCTTGTTTAGGGATGTTTGACTTTACTCCTTTCTGGAAACTCCACTAATCCATACCTATAACTCTGGAGTCTTTACGAAAGAAAATACTAAACATATAATGAACTTAACAAGTAAAAAAAAAAAAAAACTATATATATATTGCAATAGTGATTTTATTGCAATGATGATAACAATCTGATAACATTGAATATCCTTTATTTTATTTCTATTGTTCTTTAATGATTAATATTAGTGATACAATAGTTAATAAATATGCATATATATATAAAGTTCACACATACACCAGTCGTAAGTTCAAATAATTAATTGAACCGGTAAGTTATCATCAATCACTTTATCTTAGAGATAATATAGTTAAAAGAAATCATCATTTAATTGATTCTGTGATTTAGATGAATGTGTAGTCTGTCATCTCTTTCAGAATTCAACATGCAGTTCCTTATTTACAAAATGTTATTGGCAACCCCTTCCTCCTCCTCTCCTGTTGTTAAAGAATCATTATCATCATTATTATTACACAGGAAATTGCATATGATTTGTTTGTATAATAAATTAAATGTAATAATATGTATGTATCATGTTTTAACTATAAAATGTTTCTGAAGGGTCCCAGAAGGAAGCGTTGTGGTGTTTGTGAAGCATGCCAACTTCCTGATTGTGGAACATGTATTCATTGTGCTGATATGGTTAAGTTTGGAGGATCTGGCCGAGGAAAACAGGCTTGCATTAAAAGAAAGTATGATTATGATATATAATCTCCATATTGTTTTACTGACATTAAGAGGTGGTTCCTACATAAATTATGAACACTAAGTTGTCTGTGATATAAACATTAGATTGCTTATCTATATACCTGACTACTTTAAGATTTTAATTTGCTCAGTGGCATTACTAAATAATAAGTGTTTATCAGTCCTTTATTTTTGGGAATAGTACACAAAACAAATTTTTCTATCTAAATAATCCACAAAAGCTATTCTTCTTTTGTGGATTATTTAAATTAAGCAGATTAAACAGTTTAGCAAATTACAATTCTATATACACATATAAAAAAACTTTTTCCCTCCTTATAATTACATGTAGTCCAGTAAAATGATATTCTTAATGATAAAATTTTAGTTATAAAACATTTCTTTATTTATTGCAATAATGATAACATTGAATATCCTTTATTTCATTTCTATCGTTCTTTAATGATTAATATTAGTGATACAATAGTTAACAAATATGCATCAAACATTTTAGTTGCTAATTCATGTAAAAAATGATAGCAATATTTTTAGATTGAAATTAGTTTAATTGTATCTAAAATTAATATTAATAATTTAATAGATGTCCCAACATGGCTGTCCAAGAAGCTGATGATTCAGAACCAGAGGATGAAGATAGTTATCAGCAAGCAGCTGAGGAAATGGCTATAAATGAGGTTAAAACCAGACAGAACAGAGCTGCTAGTGGTAAAAAAGTTGTTGAATGGATTGGAGAATTTACTGTTGATGATGGAAGAAGAATTTTTTATAGGTTTGTGAATATTTACTATTTTAATACTGTTTGAAACACTATTTTAAATGTTTAAAACACTAGTTTCATTTTATATCTTTATTAGTTTTCTTCTGTCACTTTCATTTTTATAATTTAAAATTAAGTCATTTGTTTTGAATTGGATCCAATATATGTTAATTGCATTTATATGTTAGTTACATTAATTTTGTAGTATGATGTATTATGGAGATTTTGTTTTGTTTTCATGATAGATTGTATTAATGAAACATTGTTAATGTTCTTAACCCAGCAATTTCAATTGGTCAGTTTACTACATATTGGCATTGAATGGAATTTCTTCTTACTTGTGTGTTTTGTTGAAAACCAAGTTCTCAACAGATTTTGCTGGTCTTGGGTAGTCTATTTAAACTACTAAATCCTGTTAGTTCTTTTTTGTACTAAATTAGATCTATTCTGAGGTTTCCTTTCAGAATTTGATTCAATTGAGTAGATTCAAGAATTATTATTTATACTTCTAAAAATAAATCTTTCAAAGTATGAACAGGTAGATGGTAGTGACAAACGAAGTATGGTAGTGAGATGGACTTTCACCAATGTTTTGCAACTAAGTGCTGGCTGGATAAGTTAAATAAGAACAACACAATGGAGGTGTGTACATTGTATTGAGTAATACAATTCTTGGATATGCAGATGATAAATTATTGATGGAAGCAACCAAAAGGACATTTAGAGAATGGCTAAGAATCTGATAAGAGAGGCAGAGGAAATTTTATCTTCAAGTAAATGAAGATAAAAGAAAATATATGATAATTAGCTGAAAATTTGGCTTTATAAATATGATTAGGACTAGTTCTAATTTTTAATAAGTTTTAACAACTTTTTTAAATTTAAAAATTAATTTATATATTATGGAAATTAAAGAACTTCAGATTCAGTTCCTACTTTTATCATTTACCACTCAGAATTTATACAGTTAAAAGCCCTCTATTTTATCATCTGAAATTGACCTTCATGGAGCCTACTGCTTCCTTTTCGTGTAATCGTTGAAGTCTTTGCTGTCAGGATATCTTGTCTTTCCATGAAGTATATCAATTATTCGATAAGAAAAATAATTTTTTATTCCATATTTTTCTCTAACAAAATATTACTAATTAAGTATTTCAATGTTAAGTTCAATTACATAGTTACAATAAATATTATTATTAATTTATTTGTTTTAATATTTCATTGATTTTTTTATATAATAATAATAAAAGGCTTAGCGAACCCAAAGGTTCGACGCCGACACCACCAATCGCTTATTACACACCTCCCTCTACCGTTAGCCAATTTTTTGGACAGATTATTACCGATTCTAACTTTATTGAGTGTCTCCGACAAGCACATCTTGATTAGATTTACTAGTTTTTTTGGAATCCCCTGCTCGGTTAGAATATTATACAGTTTTTGGCGGTCAATAGAATCGTAAGCCTTTTTAAAATCTATATACAGCTGGTGAACAATACCGTTATACTCCAATTTTTTCTCTAATATTTGCCGTTAAGAAAATATTTGATCAATAGTCGAACGATTTCGTCTAAATCCGCATTGGTAGTCTCCGATAATTTCCTCGGCGTATTCCGTGATTCGACTGGTTAAGATTAAAGTGAATATTTTATATCATACCGGAAGGAGTGAAATTCCTCGATAGTTATTACAATCCGTCCTCGGACCCTTCTTGTGAATCGGAATAAGAATAGATTCTTTCCATTCTTCAGGTAATTTCTTATTCACCCAGATCTTGTTAACCAACCGATGTATTTTAGAAACTCCAGCTTCCCCGCATGCCTTAACTAGTTCAGTAAGAATATTATCGGTTCCCGCTGCTTTATAAGATCTTAATTTTCTGATAGCTACTTCAACTTCCTCTTTACTTGGTCCTTCTATTAACGGTTCAGCACTCTGGTACTCAGAAGGAGGACACAGATCATAATTTCCCGTATTTAAAATATTGTCAAAGTGGTCCTTAAACTTATTCAATATGTCAACCGGATCGGTCAGAATATTGTTATTATCATCCCTAATTCCAGACATTACGGGCCCTACATATTTACGTGATCTGTTTATACCTTTGTACATGTCTCTTACGTTATTTTCGATTCTATTAGTTTCTATTTCAATTATTTTATTTTTAAGATACTCCCTTTTTTTATTTTTGAGCAATTTTGTCGTTTCGTTCTATGAGGTTCGGAAGTATTCCAGATTGTCTTCGCTAGGATTATTTAGAGCTTTTAATTTAGCGGCTTTTCTTTTTTCGCACATATTTATGCAATCTTCATCAAACCACAGTTTGTTATTATTATTTTCCTTTTTTAGACACGAGTTACCGACCGCTTTAATATTATCCCTGATTTCTACCCATAACTTGTCAATATCCTTGTGGTCCTCGTCAAAAAGCTCTAAAGCTTCAAACCTATTCTTAACATCTAGTTCGAATTGGGTTCTAATTTTTTTATTTTTCCAAATTAAAATTCTCAAAATCGAAACGGTTTTCTTTTCTCTTTTTATATTAAGTTTTTGTCGAAGTTTCGCGATTACTAATTCATGATCCGACCCACATTCTGCTCCACGATAAGACCGTACATTAATTATACTGCTTTGCCAGCTATGTTGTATCAAGACATGATCGATTTGATTTCGTGTTTGCGAATCCGGTGATGTCCAAGTATATTTATGAATATCCTTATGTTTAAATGTCGTACTTTTAATTATCAGGTTTTTCGAGATGGCAAAGTTTATCAGACGGATCCCATTATCATTACTATATTCGTGCAAACTTTCTTTACCAATCGTCGGAATATAAACTTCTTCCCTTTCTACCTTTGCGTTCGCGTCACCTATAATTATTTTGAAGTAGTTTCGCGGTAGTTTATCATAAACCCATTCGAGTTTATCGTAAAATTCACTTTTGACTTCATGTTTATGTATGTTTATTAATGCGATTTTAAACCTACGTCCCTGAAATATAGCTACCGAAATTCTATCACTAAAGAATTGTACGTCCCTCAAAGCGGATAGTAATCTACTCCTAATTATAAATCCGGTACCTAAACAATGATTCCCGCTTCCTCCGTACCAAATACTGTACTTACCTTCCCTCATCGAGCCCTCCCCTGGCCAGCAAACCTCTTGCAGAGCCACGACATCCAAATCCATTTACCTCATTCGCGATCGATTTTAGCCCCCCTGCTGTGTTTAAACTCCTTACGTTCCACGTGCCAATATTTAAATTCCTATATTTCAACTTGCGCCATGAATCCCCGAAAGCAGTCCTAACCCGGAGACCCGAATGGGGGACTAGTTTACCTCCGGATAATGAGCGTTTTACTTTAGGGAGATCCATGACTATTTGTGGTGTTTGGTGGACTAAAGATATGTGAGTAGGATACGTTCAATCCTACGTCACACCCTCCAGCAATTCTGGTGGGCCCCTACCTCCAGCAAGTCTGGAGGGCCCCTCTCATTGTTGGTCAGCGAGTCCATCGGACTTATCCGGGAGGAACTTCCAAGGAATTTCCACCGACCTATGAGCCCGCGCGAGGTGATTTTTTTATATTAAATTAAAAAAAATTTTTATTTGCAATTCTTTTGTTTTAATTTGAAAATACATTCCTTATAGTCTAGTTTGTAATTATGTTTGATTTCGACATTATACCTGTAAAACTTTGTAACTCTATTATTTCAGTATCACTTACAATGGTTTTGCAAGTATACTGTGGATTTGTTCCGTTAAAAAAAATGTTTGTTTTTTCTTTAGAGCTTCCATTCCGATCTAGTAACTCAACAATAACAATTGATTGTTAATATTTTTGGTTGGTTTATAAATTTTTTTATTCCAGTTCTGCTAAGGTTGGCGAAGAAACTGTTAATGTTGGTGACTGTGTAAGTGTAGAACCTGCCAATCCTGCCTCACCAGTTGTAGTTGGCCGTGTTATGTATATGTGGGAAAATAAGTTTACCCAGAAGTTCATGCATGTACAATGGTATTGGTAAGTTTAGTCAGTTAATTGATTGCGATCAATTGTATTATTTATTTATTTGAATATTGATTCTTAACTTTTATTTTAGCCGAGGTAGTGAAACAGCGTTGGGAGAAACTGCTGATCCTCAAGAACTTTTTGCCATTGACGAATGTGAAAATTCCTTGTTAAGTGGTATTTCAAGTGTGGTAAAAGTTCAAATCAAAAAACATTCTGCATCATGGGCTGCAGAAGGACTAAATCTTCATGCTCTCTCTGAGGTTCCGAATGAAAAGTGTTTTTATGTTTCTCAAAGGTAATTTACAAATTTTGATCGTTTTATTGATATAACAGAGATCCAATGAAATGGCAGTTTTTATAATGTATACTTAATGGCTGAACTTTTATCTTGTTATAGTTTGACACACTTTTCCTTAAATGTAACTGAAATCATAATCAGGTTTTTCAAAAATTTATTTTGAACCATTTGAAAGAATATCTTTGTTTTATTGAGATTTATATTTGGTTAGAAAATTAAAATCTTGCCAAAGAAAAATATTTACTAGTGTATCAGATTGCTCCTATAGTTAGAAATAGTTTACTTGAATATTACTTTGTTTCCTTAAAACATATTTGAAAAAAAAATGTTAATTTAATATTTTTTGTTCCAAATAGAGTTTTTGTAAGCTGTCATCAATACTTTTTTTTTTAAATTTAATATTTGGCCATAAGTAGGTGAACCTGAAATTAATGTAATAAATCTTATTGATTTCTTTTTCTTTTCTTATTGGTTTCTGAATTAATAAATCTTATTGTTTTCTTGAATCTTGGTTTCAGGTGTTATTGAATGATTTATCTCACCCTTTTCTCTTGTAAATTGTAAACAGCAATATTTTGATTTTTATAAATAGACACAATTTTCATTTTCAAATTGAATCTATTCATTAAAAACTAATAATAGTATTTCTAATAAAAGAAGTTAAAAAGACTATATCAAAATTAATTGTTTAGATTAATTAATAGAAAGTAAAAAAAAATTCTTATATTGTACATAAATATTCAAGCCAAAAATCACAATATTTCCACTTATTATTTTATGAGGATGAGTCACAAGATGATGCTGGTTTTTTTTTAATGAAGGTATCTCTTCCGTTAATTTATATATTTTTTTTTTGTTTCCTGTTTCAATATTTCAGGCTTTTGGAAGGAGCCTTTAAAAACGAGCAACATCATCTACTAAAAATATAATTTTATGGTGGATGAATGACTATGATTTTAAATTATGACAAAATGTTAATTGTAGATAAAAAATGACAAAGAGACGAATGTTGCTACATTTATGTATTTATAAAATATGAAGCAGAATGCAGAAAAAATTGTCATTGAAGAAGGACCAAGAACCCGAAACTTTGACAAACCGAAAATAAAAAAATAAGTTAAATTAATGAAAGAAATATCTTCATTAAAAAAACGCATGCTTTTATGTCAATTGATGAATTTCTGGTAATTTCAATTTCGTTATGTTAATATCTCATTCAAATTATTACCCTTTATGAAACAGGGATACATCCTTTTTTTATTATTCAATTTCATCCCTTATTTCATGGTAAGTCAATAGTGCATTTTATCATAAGTCAGCCAAATACAACATTTCTTGGTTCTGATTTTGTTTTAATCCATTATATGATGAGACTATTCAAATTTTTCTGTCAATCAGATGACAGCCTTGAGAGGCTTGAATTTTGACAGGTTATAAATATGAAAGAGCTATACAAGCAGTAGTAACTAATCTCGACTTTCCCAATAATTTTCATAGTTGAAAATTGGTAACGAGTTGAATAACTTAACTCACTTTTCTCCTCCAATTATGGGAGTACTTATGAGGGTGATAAAAAACAGGTTGTAATGAAATGTTAATATTTTCTGAAGAATATTTCAGTGATACCTTTATTAAAATATTTTTCTAGCAAAAATATGTATGACTTTTTTTTTTCCTATTGGTATTACAAATTAAGCAGATCTTTTGCCACCTTAACAAGCCTGCTCCATCTCTGCCAGTCTTGGGCTATTTCTTTCCATTTATCTGCACGCAGCTCTATTGCATCTCTGTTGATTCTATTTATCCATCTACTTTTTGGCCTTCCACATGGTCTTTTTCCTTCTATTGAGGCATTCATTGTTCATTGTTAGAGGCTTCCAGATGGATTGCTATGAGCTGCATGCCCCGTCCATCTTAACCTCCGTGCCTTCAATATCATGGGATATTGATTGACCAATTTCTGTAAGCAGTTCTTTATTGGTCTTTCTTCTCCACGTGTTAGTACTCTGATCCCAGATCGCTCTGTTTATGGTGCAGAGGATTTTCCTCTCAAATCTTTCAAATATGTATATGTATCAATTATGATAAAATTAGATATAGAGGCTGCTAAGTTAGCTCAGTGAATAAGGTATTTTGCTCCTATTTTTTAGTCTAGAATAAGGGGTGGAATAGTATAATTACTTCAGCCATGGGTTAACACTCAGGTTGAAAGACTCGACTGGGGAACACCCATTCTCTACAAAAGTGTGCACTTGGGGTGGGGGAGAGCCTGGTAGATGAACGTGATTCAAGCTGAATCACCTTGCACAATCATTGGTATAGAAACAGTACTTTCCTAAATAGTACTGAACCGAAAACCCTCCATGAGTAGTAGTATTACAGGTTTTTTTTATTATATTTTAGAGGCTGTTATTATTTTATTTTTATTTTTCAGATATAATGAAGAATTTGGAAGATTTGAAGATCTATTACCAGATCCTATTTGTGCTAATAAAGCAGTCGAACACAGGTAGTTGTTAAATTAATTTTACTGTGAATTATCTGAAAGTCTGATAATACAAATAATAACATATTACTGCATGATGTCCTGTTTTAATCATTGTTATTAACTTAAACATTTCATATAAGCAGTTCAGCTTTGAAAAACAATTTTGTATTTCTCATCCAAAATTAAATTATTGAGAAATAATAGAAAACCTCATGTTCGTAGTTGGTAATATTTTATGATATTATTTTTTTGTAGATTTTGTTTTGCCTGTGAACGTACTTACCGTCAACAGAAATTTGAAAATCCTTATGTCGAAGACAAAGTTGAAGATGAAACTGAAAAGAAAGAGGTATGTTTTGATGATATTAATGTATTATTATAAATTAATATTAGTTTTAAGTGATAATTCAGTTAAATTGGTTTATTTTGATCATACTTGCATTGTATAACTTTTGAATTTAAGTTGTCGCAGATCCTGTCCCACAGAATCCCTCCATCAGCCCTTCGGCCTACCACGGTGCACAGCATCCGGAACGTTAATGTACAATTTATGAGTTACTCTTTCCTCGTTCATCCTCATCACATGGCCAAGCCACTTAAGCCTCTGTATCCTGATATACGAGGAGTTGTATAGGAGTCTAATTCCTTGTAGAGCCTAAACAGTTCACTATTTTTCCTTCTTCAACAATTACCATTCCCGCATACGGAAATTACCCTTTTCACACCTGTATAGCAGGTTAATGCTTTCACGATTGGTGATGATTGGCCTTATCAGGCTTATCACACACTTCTTTAGCAGACTCTGCCAATCCTATCTTGATGCGCCTCCCTCCACCTGCTTTCACTTGTAGCTTCACCAACTGTCCTGCTCATGACTATCTCATGAAACTTCTCAGAAAACTTAATTATCATTTCTTCTGTCTTTGTCTTCTGTGTTCCACTGCTCTTATTGGACTTGTTGTTTCTTTGCAGTGCATTTTATCCTTTGGTGGTAATGATCTGTGTCATCATCATATCCTCTATACGATCTTACGTCATTACATAATTTAAATTTTTGAAACATACCAGCACGTGACTTATGATGCTATCTGGAGAGGGCCATGTTTCTTATGGTCATTTTTATGAGGGAATATAGTGTTCATGACAGCCATGGATTTATAAAGTCGAGTTAAAAACTAAAATTAGGTTTGAATATTCTATCATATGTCATTAGTTTCCTTGAATTCGTTAAAATAAATAAAAAATAATACTATGGTTTTAAACCTTAGTTTTACCTCAAGAGATACTTATTTTATTATCAAATTAATGGAGTCCTGTATCGCAATTTATCAAGTAATTATAAATGAAATTAAGCTCTAGATTTTATGTTGATATGTCCAATAAAACTCAATATTTTCTAGTTAAAACTATTTGGTAGAAAACCTCACTTATAGTCATTTATCATTCTAATTATAATAAATGAGTGAATTGCTAATTCAATTTTTTTTTTGCTTTACTTTGATAATAATTCATTTTTCAGATAAAATATGGAGTTGTTCGCTGGCGAGGAGAGGAATATCGTCCAGGTACTTGTGTCTTCCTTACACCTTCTACTTTCCATTTTAAAACATATGGAAACGTATTCAAAGGCTTCAAAAACTCTAAATCCGAAAAGGTGGGTACATTTTTATAGCATTTTGACCTTATTGGAGAGTGTTTAACTCATCTTTTATTAAATGAAGTTGGAATTATTTTGTAGATCGATGAAGATTTGTATCCTGAATTTTACCGTAAAAGTTCTGATCATATTAAAGGTTCTAATGTTACAACACCAGATCCATTTTGCATTGGTTTGATTAAAGAAATAGTTACCAATTCCCGAGATAAACTGGTTGCACCAAGAGATATATGCATCAGGGTACTAAAATTCTACAGACCTGAAAATACTCGTGGGATTCTTTCACAGACTCATCATTTGGATTTAAATAAGATTTATGCTTCAGATGAAGGTAAGATATAAAATTATGATTTTTAAATTAAATTGAATTATGTTTGATTTACTAAAGAATCTTTCAAAATTTCAGAGGTTTTAGTCAATTTTGCGGATGTTACTGGAAGGTGCACTGTAGTTTATAGTGAAAATTTGAATGAGGATCCTTTTATGTGGTCTAAAGAAGGCCCATTCAGGTTCTATTTTTCAGAGGCATATGATTCAACAAATCAAACAACTACAGAACCTTCAAAATTAGCAAGGCAGTTAGGAGATGTTGGAAAAGTACATACAATAATTTATTAAGTAAATATTTTAAAATTTATTTATTAGTATTTACAATTATATACATTTATTTTTTTAAGGGCAAAGGAAAGGGAAAAGGTAAAACAGAAAAGAAGAAAATTGAAATTGAATCTTGGCCTAACATTTCAAGACCATTAAACTGTCTTGATGTATTCGCTGGATGTGGAGGTATTGCTGTTTTTAGTTTGAAATATTTGTTTTTGTATTTAAGAGAAAACTGGTGGTCCATTTTATGGATGTGCATAATCATTTGCCATTCATCCTATTTTGTATATTTAAATATTCTTTCATATATGCTTCATCATTCGGATGTCTTTGTTAAAAAATTTAATAATCCTCATCATAAAATAATTTTCATTAGTATATTACTATGTTACATTAATATATTAAGAATAAAATGTTGTGGGTCGATTTTAGTGTCAAAACCTTAAACATTATTAAAATGATCATACTTGATATCAATTTATTCCATCTTTTATTACGGATTTTCCTCAATGAATTAAATCTTACTTAAAAAAGTTATTAAGTAACTAATTTTACAACATCTCAGTGAAGTTACATGAGATCTGTTTTGATTTATTTATTAGTATTTCTTTATTTTTCTCCCTTTTGTGGATTTTAAGCTACAGGTGGGGGACAAGTCCAACTATCTACAGAAATTTATTTATTTTTTTCAAACATTTTCTTACTATTCTAGTTGTATCCAAAAGAACTGCTTGCCTAAGCCTCTCTTAGCACATCAATGGACAACTTCAAGACATGATATATTTTCATCCAATAGGTTAAATTTCTTCACCAGAACCTGGTGAAATTTTTTTTTCCACATTGTGACTCTGCAGACACTTGGTACCAGCAAGCACTCCACATCCTGTTGTGATGTACTGGCTTGATTCAAGCGTCATGTCTGTAATAAGGAACCTGGTCAGATATGTTATATAATGAGGCAAGAGCATGGTGCACAATCTTTGCTAGGTTATTGTGTCTCATCAGGTATTCTTTACCGGACAACGTTTGCCATCCCGATGGTATATATGCTGTATTGAATCTGTTGCATTTTTACTTAGGCGACATTGGTCACTTATGCCTTTCCCACATTTATATTTTATATATATCTATAGGCATTTGTGGAAACTACCTGGTCCTGAATTGCTAAACTAAACCATTCAGTTTCAGAAAATTATTATTATTATTAATATGATCTTTATTATTCTTGCTTTTATAGATTCTTATTATTATTATTATTTATTTGAATTCTGTAATTTTTTATCAAAACTTTAAAAATTGAATTTTGTAATAATTCTTGGTATTTTCATAGTAGTTTCACTCAGCTAATAGTCTAAGTAAACTAGTTTAGAACAGAGGTTACTTAAAATAGGGGGACAATTTATAATTTTTAAAAATTACTTGTTAGCATCCTAAAATGTGTAAATTAGAATGATATTTCTGAAACTGTTTTGAAAAGATCTCTATCCTTCCTCCATCTTAAATTAAGGAAGTAAAATAATAATTGTTTTCAAATAGTGGAATACTCATATATTTGACTATTTTAATTCTTAAAAATGGTACTTATAGGACTTTCTGAAGGATTACATATTAGTGGAGTTGCTGAAACAAAGTGGGCCATTGAGAAAGAAGAATCCGCAGCTAATGCTTTCCGGATAAACAATCCTAATTGTGTAGTGTTCACGGAAGATTGTAATCACCTTCTTAAAATGGTTATGAATGTAAGTTAGGCAAATCAATGTTGCTTGTCTATTTTTATGCGTTACCTCCATTTTAAATATTTTCTTATTTTGATCACCTGTTAAAGGGCGAGATGAAAAATGATAAAGGCCAGAAACTACCACAGAAAGGGCAAGTTGAATTACTTTGTGGAGGACCTCCTTGTCAGGGTTTCAGTGGAATGAATAGATTTAATTCCCGCCAGTATTCTCTCTTCAAAGTAAGTCACCTGATGTTCAATATCTTTCAGTTTATAGATAATAAATATAATATGTGTGTATAATGTGCCTATATACATATACATGAAAGTCTTTTGATTGTGACATTTGCTTGAAATTACCAACAAAAATTTATTAATTTTATTGAAATATTAGTGAACATATTTTTTCCTTGAGTGTAGCTGATCTAACAAGATATTTTTTAGTAAATTACTGACAAGAATGCTAATTTCTTTCTTTCTTTTTTTACTTAAATTACTTAAAATTAAATATTAATTTATTTTTATTTTTTAGGAATCTATGATTTTTAGGATTGTTTTTAGTATTACACTACATTATTTGTTTAACCTTTATATTATTAATTGAAATTTAGTTATCTTACACTTCCTCCTTCAACTAGATATATAATAAGATATATTTTAACCTTTCATAATTTTATTCAATTGTAACTATTATTTATTTTTCATTATTTCAGAATTCCCTGATTGTTTCGTACTTGTCATATTGTGACTACTATCGTCCTAGGTTTTTCATTTTGGAAAACGTAAGGAACTTTGTTTCCTTTAAGAGAAGTATGGTTTTGAAACTTACTCTAAGATGTCTTGTTAAAATGGGTTATCAAGTCACATTTGGCATTCTTCAGGCTGGTAATTATGGAGTTCCTCAGACAAGGAGAAGGTAATTCTAAACATATATGATGATGATTGTAGTTTTACTTTAGATTTTGAAAAAAACAAAATTTTTAACGACTATTGAGAAATAAAAAAGTCATAATTGGTTTCGTATTTAATATAAAGTACCTCACAAATAACATTATCTTATTTGTATTCATATTTTCAAGTTAAACTACTAAAATTTTAATGCCTTCATGAAAAGCTTTGAAGGACTACTATCTCTTCCAGAGAGGGAACTCTGTTTATATCCAGTGTAGATTTAGAAATGATAGGTTCTACCATTATCCAAATATTAAGTCTTTGGACAATTCTGTAATAAGGGAGGAGTGATTACAAGGTTATAACTTTCCTTCTCTATATCTGAATTTCAGAGGCTTATATTAGCATAAATATAGAAGATATTATGTAAGTTTAAAGAATTGTAAGATCCTCAGTATGCTCATATCCATAGAGACCGGATTACCATGTTATTGCACATTTTATTCGCTTGCATGTAAAAACCCCGGAACCAAATATCTACGCGTTTCAGGATCTACAGATATTTAATATATTTAAATTTTAATTTGCACGTTTTGCCGTTTTTGGCTTAAATTGTACGATTTTGATTTTTGTTGCATTAAATTGCACAATTTGTACTAAATTAAATGATTTATAAATATATATGTGTGTAAATATTTACTTTTTTTTTTAACTATCTTGTGCATATTAAATTTATAATTTAAGAAAGAAAAATATGAGGAAGGTAAATGATTCTATGACTGGTAAAGATTCAAATTTAATGTTACAAAACGACGAAGTAAACACAAGTGCAGACTGACTATTCGTGGAATAGATCTTGCTTGAAGTAATTCAATAAAAAAAAACTGCCTTCCTTGTTTCGACTTCAATTCTCACTCGCTCTTAAGTCCTTCAGTATCCCTTCCGGCTTTGAAGTGAATCATACACTCTCATGAATTCGGGATCAATAATATCCGATTTGACATTCATAAAATCACATTTGTCAAATTATCCGCAAACTCAGAATCTTGAAATTCGTCACTTAATAAACAAATTGAAATTATATAAACTGTAGAAGAAAATCTTAAATAAACCAATAGTGAAATAGGAAAAATGATATCTCATACATTTTACTCCATAATAGAAAAAAATATAGGTTGCGCTCTTATAAAAAAATATAGCAACTGCATTAACGGTATAAATGTAAATGTTGAAAAGAACCAGCAGTGGTTAGTCCCCTTACATCGGTTCATGTTGAACATTCTTTTTCTCAATTGAAATACTTATTAAGTGATAAAAGAAACAATTTTTCAGAAACCAATTTCGAACTGTATAACATCATCAATTTCAACTCGATTGAAAAATAAAGTTTTCATTATAATGTGAACAATTTGTAATTATGTATGAACAAAGATTATTTTTAGTTAAAATTAAATATCTGAAATCAATTAGTCTTGCATATATAATATATACTTATCCTTCATACCCTTAACCTTTTTAAGTTCCTCTACATTGCTTTATTTCTTGTATGTGCCAGTCAATTAACCAATTTAAGAGAAATTTAAACAAATATATTTAATTATTTGTCAGTTAATTATTGAGACCTTTTTGTATTTGGTTTTTGAATTATCTTTAAGTTTTCTATTATATATTTTAGTCCTTCTTATTTTTTTAATTTGGCATATTCCAAGATTTAGGTTAATCGTTATTTATTGTTGTCGTTAGCTGATTGTAATATGCATTTTAATTTTTTTTTTGTGACACAATATTTTAATTCATAGCTTAACATAATGTTAGATAGGGTTTTGATTTATTAATATATAAATTATACAAAATAGATGATTTTTGCATATTTTTAGATGTAAATTAGATAATTTTACATATTTTGGGTTTTTACTGCACAATTTTGCACGAAGCTCCAGTCTCTACTGATAAGCCTTGTGAGACTTACAACTATACTCCGGCATATTCCTGCTTTTAGATTAATTAATCAAATAAATAAATAGTAACCATGCTTAGTTTTAGGCCTTCCTATGAATTAGATGAAAATATTCATCAAAAACTTAATTAACTTTTTCAGGGCTATCATTCTCGCAGCTGCACCAGGAGAAATCTTACCAAAATATCCGGAACCTCTACACGTATTCAATCCTCGGGCTACTCAGTTATCTGTCATGATAGATGATAAGAAGGTATAATTTACTTTTAGCCTTGATATTAATTTGTTTTATCTCATTTTTCTTAGATATATTTTGGTTTGTACACTCATGCTTTTGATCTTTTTCAGTTCTTGTCGAATTGTAGGTGGATCGATTCTGCTCCTTATCGAACTGTAACAGTAAGGGATGCTATGTCCGATTTGCCTGAAATCAGAAACGGTTTCAAGGAAGAAGAAATGCCATATGGTGGAGATCCTCTGTCACATTTTCAGAAATCGGTAAATAGGTTTTTTAAGCATTTATCAATTACTTTTTTTTTTTGGTTCTTTTACCATATACAACCTATTCATTTTTTTTTTTTTTTTGTACAGGTTAGAGGAGATACTTATCAGGCGATGCTTCGAGATCATATTTGTAAGGAAATGAGTGCACTTGTGGAAGCTAGAATAGCACAGATACCCACTGCTGTCGGCTCAGACTGGAGGGATTTACCAAATATCGTTGTTAAACTAAGTGATGATACCTATACAAAAAAACTGTAAATATTACAAATATTTTTTCTTTTAATTAGTGGATGAACTTTTATTTCTGATTCAGTATTTTTAATGTTCCTTATTAATAATTATATATATTTATATTTTAATTTTAGTGTGTACACACATCATGATAAAAAGAATGGGAAGTCTAAGTCTGGTAATCTAAGAGGAGTATGCTCTTGCGCTAATGGTAAACCTTGTGACCCAATGGACAGGCAGTTCAATACCCTCATCCCTTGGTGCCTACCACACACTGGAAACAGGCACAATCACTGGTCTGGCCTCTATGGCCGTCTGGAATGGGATGGTTTCTTCAGTACGACAGTTACCAATCCTGAGCCTATGGGAAAACAGGTCTGTTGAGGTTTGATTTTTATTGTTCAAAATACTGAATAATATTGAATGCTCTCATGATAACCACAATTATTGTTAGATAAAGTCTAGTCACCAATGTAAATCTATTAACTAAATAAAAATTAAAATAAGAAGTTAATTATAAGTTTTTGTTTTAAAATGTATTCTTCCTTTTATAATATATTTTCTATTCTAAACTGTATATGATGTGTTTGTTTTGTGTGAATGTCAACTCTCGGTGGTATAGATTTAATTTTCATCTTAAATTGGTGATCCCTAATTTATTAAAAATCATTGAAATATAATTTCTTTTTCGTAAATAATAAAATTATAGTATTAGCTAGAACAATTATTATTGTCTCAATCACATTTCAACTTGGAAAATTTCATATTATTCAGAAGAAATTTCTTTGTGCTTTTGGCGTTAAGAACTTGAAATAAACAATGTTTTGTTGAGTGTGCTTTTTATGAAAATAATCTCTATTATATTAATAAAAAAAAATATTTGATTTTTATCTTATTTTTCTTTTCAGGGAAGAGTTCTTCATCCTGAACAGACGAGAGTAGTAAGCGTTCGGGAATGTGCAAGATCACAAGGTTTTCCTGACAGATATAGATTTTATGGAAATATTTTGGATAAACATAGACAGGTATTTGTGCTTACGCATTTATATGATTTTTTAAAATAAATTAATAAATAATCATTTTATTTATTACACTCCATTTTGTATCAACAGGTAGGAAATGCTGTTCCTCCTCCTCTTGGAGCTGCAGTAGGTCGTGAAATAAGGAAATGTCTGTTTATCAAAGAAAAGATGTCCTCTGGTCTCCAAGATGTAAAGATTCCTACTGAAATCCAAGATGTAAAGATGGACACAGAAATCCAAGATGTAAAGATGGCAATTGACTGATTTATATTATTTTATTACTTTTAACTTGTTAACTTTTAAATAATTTTATGATTATTTTGTTGGCATCTAAAAAAACCTTTTAAACGGTACACATTTAAGCATTGTTTGAAATCATATTTTGATCATTAAATCAGAAGTGCTTATAAATTTTATGTGATTAGAACTATATGTGAGCTTGTAGAGCTTTGAATGTATATATGTTAATAGTAAATATATGTATGTAATGTAACAATATTTTTAAATTACTGGTTAATATCGGTATTGTAAATGTAAAATTTTAATTATGATAATGACTGTTTAAATGTTAGTTTAAATTAATTTATTACTACTGGTGTTTAAAAAAATATGTAGTAAAGGCATGAAATTCTTTTTTAGAAAAGTATGATATTTTTAATGTTTAACACTGCAAAACAAACTGGGTTTGGACCACAGATTTATAAAAAATCATCTGTATATTTATTTTAGATTGATTATTATAATAAATATCATAACTCAGTATGGTTATAATTATTGGTGTTTCCAGATTATTTATTGGTAATCTTTAACATGTCTGTTTTTGTTAAACTGTGTAAAAAATTGTATTATTACTGGTGAAGAATTAAACAGATATATAAAAAAATATATTATAGTAAAAATCCATATAACCTTTAAAATTTCTTTTATTGATTAGTTACACAATTAATTTAATTATGACTGAATATTAGAAATATATGATTTACAAAATATAGCTTTTTGCCCCTTTTATTGCTAGGAACAAATATTTTTAAAATAACTAGTTATATTTTATAATTCATATAAATAATTTTGGAATATAAAATTTACTCTGTATTTTGAATTCCTTTGTTAAAAAGAGATTTTATTATGAATTATTTATTTTTTAATTATAATAATGGCTTCCATCTTCCGCTAAACTCTCCATCAAAATCTGAATAACGTTATGCTCATTTAAATTTTCTGAATGTTGTTATTTACATTATTTTTATTAAGTACTTCAATGATTCTGTGTTAACAGGCCTTTTCAGTTCTTTGGTTGAAATTTTTTTTTTTCAATCAAGTATTTTAAGCAATGATTTATTTTCGACGATGATTACTTTTTGATTTTTTTTGTTACTTATTCATGGCTTCAATGAAATTAATTTTGAAATGCGAGTTATGCTATTATACACAATTTTTATTCATGTTTACATATAGATCCTGATTTTTGGAAACAATTTTTGCTTTCACTTATCTATATTTGTAATATAAAGTAAGGGTAATGATTGTAATCATGAACATTTTCAAATCTGAGTTTGAAGTAATGGAAATTTATGTTTTGTGATCCCCTGAGACCAAATAACCAAGTTCTACAAAATGGTATGTGTGAACAGTCTAGCTCAAAAACAAAAGGTCGTACGAAACTGAGAATATATTTAAGTTAAGTATATGCCTGGGATGGGGTGTTACAGCAACTTTTTCCTTAAAATCGACTAATCTGAAGTGCTACTTTATATGATTGATTTTACACATTTTTCTCAAAAAAAATGGCTATAACGATTTTGATTAATCTCGGTTTGACAAAATATTTTTAAGTAGTCTTTCATATCATTTAGATCTTATCCCCTTGATGTCATTTAACTGGACTTATATGTCCAATGTTCATAATTTCTTTTCCTAAAGTACCTTTAATTTGGTTTATTTTAAATAATTAACCCTGTCTGATTGTTTGTAGTTATGAAAGAAGGCTAAATATAACTTTTGAATTATTAATTGAACTTAAATACATATACTGTAGTTTAATAACTCTAGATCCGATATATTAAAATAATTAGGTATATATTGTCATATTATTCCAAAAAATCTTGTAATCTTTTAGAAACTTAAATTAGTGAATAATTTGATGAATATTCCCCCTGTGAAATCCTAACATAATTCACTTACAATTATTTGAACAACCTTTTACCTATTTATGGCAGTCAATGAAAATCTCATAACTCCATTTTATAAAATTTTAAAATGGAAAATAAGAGGTTAATAATTAATAGTCATACTATTCAGAATCATTTATAGGTTAAATATACAGATGTACATACTTTCATATCTCTAGGCATATGCACGGGTGCCCAAGTGGAGGATTTATGGTGCAAGCTGCATCATCCAAATTTTTGAGGGGGGCACATTTTGACAGGATTTTGAATTTTTGAGGCAAACACATTTCGATGGGATTATGAATTTATGAAGTGAAAAGTATCAAACCAGGAATCATGGATCAGATTGCCGCAAATTCGATTGATCTACTATTTCCCTAATTAAATTTTTGCTTGCACTGTAAAAGAGAAATAAATAAAAGTCTTGCGGGGGATGGTCATATATATTCATATATATATAAAATATATATATATATATATATATATATATATATATATATATATATATATATATAAAATATATATATATATATAAAATATATATATATATATATATATATATATATATATATATATATATATATATATATATATATATAAAATATATATATATATATATATATATATATATATATATATATATATATATATATATATATATATATATAGCCTATATATATATATATATATATATATAGCCTTGAGACTGGAGTTATGTGGCTTACAAAAATTAAAAGAATGGTTTACAGATGGAATTTCGAGGTTTTTATTGCCCTCCATGGATATAATAAATATGTTTTTAGTTATTTTATCGGTCTTCGTGTTGTTAGCTGTAAGCTTTAACTCTGGCTCTGTTAGAATGCACTTAAAAAAATTTGTAATAGCCAAACATTGTCAGAAAATAATTTCTATTCAAAGTAGAGTGGTAAGTGAAAGTTGTGTGATGTATGCAACAGAATTTTTAGGTTGTGTTTAAAGAAAACTACATTTGACACCTTACATTTTCTGCTATTTTTACATGTCCATTTTTATAACATCTGTTGAAGATTGGTTGGATTACATATTAGATTTATAAACCACCTTCCTTATTAAATAAGTTCTCCTAATAAATACTGTTAAAGAGTTTTTTTTTTTTATCAATTCATGGATTTTCATTAGGATATAGATATGAATTCCTCATTGTTATTTTTACGATTTCCTCGAAAGTGGCTCTAACGATTTTTACTAAATTCATGATATCAGTGTAAAATTAAGCAGTTTTTAATGTAATGTAAGTTTTACTCTTATTGATGTTCTCTAAGAGGCCTTAAATGGCTAATTTTCAATATAAGCTTCTGCTAAAGTAAATTTTTTTTATTTGAAACAATTAACCATTTCACATTGATCTCTGTAATAAGAAATACTTAAATATAAAATATGAAAGACTTTGATAATTAACTAAAGGAGAAATAAGAGAGAATAGTTGTGATGGAGGAACCAAAGGAATGCTCCTGCATATACATATGCGGTTTTAAATGCTATCGTTGGTATTATTTAATATTTAATTGTATAGATTACAGCGATATAAATATTAACATTTCTATACAAATGGGTACTTCAACAAAAAAAAAAAAAAAAAAAAATACTCTCAATGAAATATAAATAAATAAGGCATCTATAATTTTTACTTACTCTTCCTCTTTGCCTGAAAATATGTATTTCTGTTAAGAAGAGGGTGGTTAGTGAAACTTACGTGATGCGGTGTAAATAAAAATCTGTTGACTGGTGTGAAATAAATCGTGTAAACAAAACAATTTTATATGTAAATGCTGAATGAAGTCCATATTTTTTACTTTTTATGGCTCCATTTTAGAAAAATCTTCATTTATTTGCTTGATTATATTAGCTGTATGCTGACATCTACCCTGAAAAAGCCTATAAGTTTAAGAATACTCGATTTTGAACTTTTATCATCCATCTTGGACACATGCATATTAAAAAATGTGTTTCAGCGTTGACACAGGCGGATTTACGGGGGGGGGGCTTTCGGACTGAACCTCCCCCCCCCCTCCCAAAATTAAATCCTGGATCCGCTAGTGAGCGTTGATATAAAGTGACACTTCCGGTTAGCCGATTTTGGGGAAAAAGTTGCTGTCACATCTAAGGCATATACCTATCTTAAATACGTAATATCAGTTTCGTGCGACTTTTCGTTTTTGAGCTAGACTCCTAACATACAAACACACAGACACACAGACCATTTCTCGGGACTTGGTCATTTCGACTCAGGGTACCTCAAAACGTGTATTTCCGTTGAAAATTCAGATTAAAAAATGTTCTCGATCGCAATACTTACCCTTACTATGTATTACATATATATGTAAGTGAAAGTAAAAATATGAACTGAACATTAAACAAAAGCTCCTTGTTCATAAAATCAAAAATAACCAGTTTATTTTGAGTTAGGAATAATGTTATTTTTTGCAATGTGGGGTCGCGGTGGTCGAGCGAGTTAAGGTGCCTGCAAAAATTTTAAGCTACGGGTTTAGATCCCGTTCGCGGTGAGAAACTCCTGTGTCTTCCAACAACATAGCTCCTGGTCCTCCAGATTGGAGGTTGGGCACAGGGCCATTAAATATATCTCGTAATAAACAACAAGATAGAGAAGTCTACAAAAGGATTGCCAACCATCCTAATCAAGAAAGAGTAATTAGCGTTCGGATATTATAAAACCACGTGCTCCCTGGATATCTTATACAAGTATAAGAGAACCAAACGATGACAGCTGTCGCCAGGAACAGCCCCAAGCCGCTAGAGGACTAATGACGGAAGTCAATAAGACAAGAGGCGCTAAAAAAAAAACACTGTTTAAATAATATGCATTGATAAACTAATCTTAAAATAGTTGTTTCAATCTAGTCCATTAACTCTGCGAGTACCGTGAGACTCTTTATAGACCCCACACATTTCTTGTTTTTGAAATAAAATTTGAAGAAATCATTTGAGATCCATCATGTTCGATGGATCTTAGTATGAAATCTAGAATATTTAAATTAGTATTAGTATTAGTTTTCTCTAAATTTAAAAGATTTTTTATCTCTAGAAAATGTGACTATTTACCTTTCGGAACCCGCATGATATATAGGAAGTTACATTTTTTGTTTATTTATTTAAAAAATAATTTATAATAAATTTTCAAATAATTTGTTATAAATAAAAATATATTTGTCCTCAAGTTTAATGTTGCCAAATTTAACATTTTTTTATATAATTGTAAAAAAGGAAATATGTAAGGCAAATAGATCTAAAAAAATTATTCTTGTGCAAGTAGTAATTTCTCTAATTCATTTTTTAGAGAAAAATATTGTAAATTTTTTTATTGACGACTTTAATTTCAATTTCTTTTTCCAACTTTAGAAAAACATTCAATCCTTATCTTCGCGAGTCTTCCATGAATTCGATTTAAACTAGACCGGGGTTTAATTAAAATTGAATTATGTTAAAGTAAATCCTTTTTGTAGGCACGTATATTAAGGAATAATAATTAAAGCCAATATTCATTATTATTAATTTAAGATATTGTTTCTAGAAAGAATGTTGTTCAAATTTCCGATATCATTATTAAAATATACAATTATTTCAAGACTCTAATGTAGAGTGCTTTCAATTAATTAAGTTTTGTTCCGAATTTTTACGATGGAGAATCTAAGAGTTGTGAAAATCAAAATTATGTTTAAGATCTAATGTTTGATGCACAAGTTCCATTATTGCATCTTCTTTCCTTTATTTTTGTTTTTGAAATCTGTACAAGAATTTATTTGCAGGTAAATCCTATTAAGACAATTTTGATTTGTCATGCCAATGTAAAAAAATAATTTTAATTAGCAATAATTTTATCATTCATTGGATTCGAAATTTGATGCAGCTTATTTTTGAGGATACATCCGCGATCCTAATTTCAAAAATATCTTACTTACTAGGAGAGCTCACCGTATGTG